TTGTCTTCTCTTTTGTCTACTTTTTTAATCTGCATCTTATTTTTGTCTCCTCTTGCTGTCTACTTTTTAATCTGCATCTTATTTTTGTCTCCTCTTGTTGTCTACTTTTTTAATCTGCATCTTATTTTTTTGTCTCCCTCTTGCTGTCTACTTTTTAATCTGCATCTTATTTTTGTCTCCTCTTGCTGTCTACTTTTTTAATCTGCATCTTATTTTTGTCTCCTCTTGCTGTCTACTTTTTAATCTGCATCTTATTTTTGTCTCCTCTTGCTGACTACTTTTTAATCTGCATCTTATTTTGTCTCCTCTTGCTGTCTACTTTTTAATCTGCATCTTATTTTTGTCTCCTCTTGCTGTCTACTTTTTAATCAGCATCTTATTTTTGTCTCCTCTTGCTGTCTACTTTTTAATCTGCATCTTATTTTTTGTCTCCTCTTGCTGTCTACTTTTTAATCTGCATCTTATTTTTGTCTCCTCTTGCTGTCTACTTTTTTTTAATCTGCATCTTATTTTTTGTCTCGTCTTGCTGTCTACTTTTTAATCAGCATCTTATTTTTGTCTCCTCTTGCTGTCTACTTTTTAATCTGCATCTTATTTTTGTCTCCTCTTGCTGTCTACTTTTTAATCTGCATCTTATTTTTGTCTCCTCTTGCTGTCTACTTTTTAATCTGCATCTTATTTTTGTCTCCTCTTGCTGTCTACTTTTTAATCTGCATCTTATTTTTGTCTCCTCTTGCTGTCTCTTTTTTAATTTGCATCTTATTTTTGTCTCCTCTTGCTGTCTCTTTTTTAATTTGCATCTTATTTTTGTCTCCTCTTGCTGTCTACTTTTTAATCTGCATCTTATTTTTGTCTCCTCTTGCTGTCTACTTTTTAATCTGCATCTTATTTTTGTCTCCTCTTGCTGTCTACTTTTTAATCTGCATCTTATTTTTGTCTCCTCTTGCTGTCTACTTTTTAATCAGCATCTTATTTTTGTCTCCTCTTGCTGTCTACTTTTTAATCTGCATCTTATTTTTGTCTCCTCTTGCTGTCTACTTTTTAATCTGCATCTTATTTTTGTCTCCTCTTGCTGTTCACTTTTTTAATCTGCATCTTATTTTTGTCTCCTCTTGCTGTCTACTTTTTAATCTGCATCTTATTTTTGTCTCCTTTTGCTCTCTCTTTTTTTTAATTTGCATCTCATTTTTGTCTCCTCTTGTCTACTTTTTAATCTGCATCTTATTTTTGTCTCCTCTTGCTGTCTACTTTTTTCAGCATCTTGCTTCTGTCTACTTTTTTTTGCATCTTATTTTTGTCTCCTCTTGCTGTCTACTTTTTTAATCTGCATCTTATTTTTGTCTCCTCTTGATGTCTACTTTTTAATCTGCATCTTATTTTTGTCTCCTCTTGCTGTCTACTTTTTAATCTGCATCTTATTTTTGTCTCCTCTTGCTGTCTTTTTTTTAATTTGCATCTTATTTTTTTGTCTCCTCTTGCTGTCTACTTTTTAATCTGCATCTTATTTTTGTCTCCTCTTGCTGTCTACTTTTTTAATCTGCATCTTATTTTTGTCTCCTCTTGCTGTCTACTTTTTAATCAGCATCTTATTTTTGTCTCCTCTTTCTGTCTACTTTTTAATCTGCATCTTATTTTTGTCTCCTCTTGCTGTCTACTTTTTAATCTGCATCTTATTTTTGTCTCCTCTTGCTGTCTACTTTTTAATCTGCATCTTTATTTTGTCTCCTCCTCTTTTTACTTTTAATCTGCATCTTATTTTTTGTCTCCTCTTGCTGTCTACTTTTTAATCTGCATCTTATTTTTGTCTCCTCTTGCTGTCTACTTTTTTAATCTGCATCTTTTTTTTGTCTCTCTTGCTGTCTACTTTTTAATCTGCATCTTATTTTTTGTCTCCTTTGTCTACTTTTAATCTGCATCTTATTTTTGTCTCCTCTTGCTGTCTACTTTTTTAATCTGCATCTTATTTTTGTCTCCTCTTTGCTTTTTTTTTTTAATCTGCATCTTTTAATCTGCATGCATTAATTTTTGTCTCCTCTTGCTGTCTACTTTTTAATCTGCATCTTATTTTTGTCTCCTCTTGCTGTCTACTTTTTAATCTGCATCTTATTTTTGTCTCCTTTTGCTGTCTACTTTTTAATCTGCATCTTATTTTTGTCTCCTTTTGCTGTCTACTTTTTAATCTGCATCTTATTTTTGTCTCCTCTTGTTGTCTACTTTTTAATCTGCATCTCATTTTTGTCTCCTTTTGCTGTCTCTTTTTTAATCTGCATCTCATTTTTGTCTCCTCTTGCTGTCTCCTTTTTAATTTAGAGTCGTCCTTCTTCTAGGCTGGCTACAACCAAAAGTTAGATAATCCAGTCTACCTTTTTATTTAACCCATAGCAGACAGGAAGGAAAAGAGACGGGTTTATGTCTTTACAAAGGACATTAGTACAAAAAGGCACACAACAGATGAGCCAGTAATTTGAACTCGATTTGTTAATTTTAATTTCCACACAGATTTATGCAAAAAAAAAAAAAAAAATTAGCTTATTAGGAACAATGAAAAAAGGCTTTCAACCTAGATAAAAAGTGATCCAATTCAAATATTTTGGCTCAATTATCAGCGAAGTGAACTCTGGAACAGAAATGATTTTTTAAAAATCAACACAATGGCAGTTGTCGCAAAACTAAGTACCTTCTGGAAAGACAAGAACATCTGCCTGAAAGTCAAAGACGAGGCTGTTGTTCACATTGGCCTTCTCACACATTCTCTATGCCTGCAAATCTTGAACATTAATAGCAGACTAGTGAAGAATTCAAGCAGTAGAAATGAGATTCTACAGAACCATCATAAATGACATTGTACAGTACACTATCAAACAAGAAACAGGGACACTAAATACTTCCTGAACACTGTCAAGAAAAGCAAATTGAAATGGTATCACAAGAGACAACAATCTTTGCACTGGCATTCTACAGAGTACCCCCAATAGAGGCAGACAGAGGAGGAAATGATCTGACAATGTCACTGTGTGGAATGGAAGATCATTTACACAGTGGCACACAACTGAGACAGATAGAGAAAACTACCTACAACCACATCCACTCATAAGCGACAATAAATGTTTATGGTTTAAAATTGAAAGATGATTACGAAATGCACACCTAAGCTACAGGATGATTGAAAAGTAGCTCTCCATTTTAAAATACTTATAATTTATCTGTTAACGATGATTTTTTACAAGAAATGGATATGAGAGGAAAGCTTTTAGCAGGAGGTTTTATTTAAAATTTGATATGGGCAGCAGATTTTACTACCAGCTTCTTGAGGTGCCCAGGAATCACATCAGCTGATTTCACCAGGAACTCTTGTAGTATGGAAGACATAACTTCTTTATTCACCCTTCAAGTTCTTCCAATGTCTTGGTTTCGTATAGTAGACTTGTTCCTTTAACCAACCCCCAAAGAAAAAAGTCATAAGGTGTTAAGTCAAGATACCTGGCTGGCCACTCATATATAAAATAGGGAGTTACTTTTCAATCATCCTGTATATCAGACAGCTTATATCTATCTACCTATCAATCTATCTATATCAGCCAGTTGATATCTATTTATGTATCTATTTATCTATTATTCTAAATTCTTGGTTTGGCATAGTAGATTTGCTTCTTTAACCAACCCCCAAAGAAAAAAGTCATAGGGTGTTATGTCAGGACTCCTGGCTGGCTGGCCATTCATACATAAAATACTTTTCAATCACCCTGTAGTTTACAACTAAAAGCTGAAGTTTTATTTATAGAATTTTAAATGGGAAACATTTTGAATTTCCTGATAATTCCTCGTTTTCAAGATGAAAGAAAATACAAGGCAGAAAATATAAGAACTAACATTTCCATACAATGTTATTAAAAGAATTTGGCTGATTGTAGAAACAGAAGCCAGAAAATAACCAAGCAATATTCATTGGGTTTTTCTCTTGCCTGCTTAATATTCAAGCAAACAAAAAAGTTTTATGGTTGTCTCACTTGGGACATGTTTGAGGGGGTGTAAATTGATGAGGCTGGAGGTAAAGAGGAGCATTGGGAAAAATAAAAATTACGGGGGTACAGAAGTAACATGAAAATGAAGAGCAAAAAAAATGTGGGGGAAGGAATATGAATAAAAGAAAGGGAGAAACACAAAAAGGTAAAATTAAGAAGAATAATTGAAATAGTTGGATGGGTGTTTTTGTTTATCAGCATATCAACACCTTTATGGATTATTCAATGCCAAAATCTAAACATTTTTTGTATACAAATCTATTTTATTTTTGGAGAAAATAATGGTTTAGTGATACAAGTCTTACTAATTAACCCATATCTGGAGGGAGAAGAGGTGGATTCATACCTTTCCCAAGAATATTTGCGTGTAAGTGAATATCACAAACCCAACTGGAATTGGGACTCAGCTCTCTGATTAACAATTCCAAGTCATTATCTGTTACACAACCTACGCATTCATGCTTACAGCACCTCATGTGTACTGACCAGGTTTGACGTTGCTTAACTTTAAAAAGAGAGTGTGAAGAAGAAAGAAATGTGTTGAAGATGACTGGAGAAAAAGATGAAGAAGGAGAAAAAAAGGAAGAGGATTATGATGAGTAAGGAAAGTGTATAGAGAAAGAGAGGAAGAAGAAAACTGAAAGAAGAGGAATAGGAAAAAGAATGAAGCAAAAGAAAAGCAAAGAAAAAAGCATAGAGAACAGCAATGTTCAAAGACCTAGAAGAATCTATTATATTCTAAAATCTTATGAGATTCTAAAAGACCTGGCTTTTGCTAAAAACCCATATTTTCTTTCCCTAAGATATTAAACATACACTATACACATATTTAGAATAAAATCTCCCACTTAAATGCCGCTCTATTTAACCGATTCCAAACAAATCTTTGAATCCAATATTTATTGTACCTGCAGCAATTTACAGTCAGAAATCTTTTGGAGCATCAACAGGCGTCAAGTGTTAATGTTGTGACAAGTGTTAATCACTGTGGGCGATGCATACAGCACCTGTCCAGTTATATGAGGGGGGATGGACATGTGTGGATAGTTTGGTGGCAGTGACACAAAGCAGGGATTCATTTGCCATCCAAATCCAATCAGGTGACACATCTGTAAATGACATTTGTGCATTTTGCCAATTCCTGTCCCAATATTCAAAGGAATATTGGCGGATGCTAATCAAAATATACCGCAGCAGGTTCTGGATAGTTTGATGTGGCTGTATTTCTTGGCCTTGCCAGATCAATGTTGTATTTGTGACAACCAATGGGAAAACTGCAAAATGTATAGGACTTTAGAAAAATTAATAAAACAGTTTCTGATTCTATGTAGAAAAAGTACTATTTTTAATCATTTCACCCTAAGCAAGGCAACAAAGCCACTAAAATGCAAAGGGTTATTGAGTGTGAGAGAATACAGAGAAAAAAACACTATTAAGGAGAGAGAACAATAAAAGAATAAGAACTAAGAATATGGTAATAATGATTGATATTGTATTTAGATTTTTGAAGATTGAAGTTGACTGGAAAGCAAGAAGCTGGAAGAGAGTTCCAGAAATGTGAAGTGCGAGCAAAGGAACTGTTAGCACAGAATTTATGGTTACATCTAGCAATTTCAACTGTAAAATGAGGAAACCTTGCAGTCAATCTAGTACTGCACATAAATTCATAAAATCTCTAGCATAGAGGAAAGTTCATCAGAACAATTTCCATGAAATCATTTATAGAAAAGGCACAGGGAAGCTAAGTTACAGTGGTGGGGAAATGACTGAAAATTGAACTTCTTTAATTTTGTTCTAATCATCTCATAGAGGCATGAACTCAAATTTTCCTGTTCTCACAAGCCATAATTAAGACAAATCCCTTTCAAAAAATGGGGTAGTATCTATATCTATAATTCTCAAAATGCATGTGTGTGTGATCGGATGTTGTTTATGCATTCCCACAGTTTTCATCTGATTTTGATAAAAAATTTTTTGTTTGATAGATAATTCTTCAGTGCCGGTTTTGAGTCCAAATTGTTTGTGACAATGGCACTCCACTACTTCCAGTCCATTATAACTCTCAGCAACGTTTTACTATTTACTATTTGTTCTTGCATATATATCTTTCATAAAAACTTTAATAAAAATAAGTAGTTTAAATTATTACAATAATATTATTTATATCTCTAATTCTCAAAATGTGTGTGTGTGTGTGTGTATGATTGGATGTTGCTTATGCTTTTCCACATTTATCATCCGAATACTTCTGTGCATGAGGCTGAAAATGATGATCAAAAGACTCAACAGCTGAGGAGAAACGTTTCTACAACTGCTGCTGTGCATGAGGCTAAAACAAGATTGAGAACACAAAATATGGTCCTTTTCAGGGCCATACTCAAATCAAATTGTTAACCCCCACCATTTGGGGATGTGCCTCAGTTGAACCCAAATGTTGTTACTAATATTGATTTTCAGGTGGGCTGACTTTAAACTTAAAGTGCTTCAACTGAACGGCCAAAATTCCTAGTAATGAAAGACCCAGTTGAAGACAGGTTATAATGATAGTTTGCATATATCCTAAATTGTCACAAGATTATTTACAATACCTAATGTTAAGTAAATATTCTGCAAAACGTTACACTGCAAATATTCATTATAATGTACAGCAAACATTATACAGTACATATTTATTATACCATAGTTATTAGGTCACTTTGACATGGTGTAATGTTTAGCAAGCTTGTTAGCTAGACCAGGGGGGTCAGCAACCTTTTGCTAACTATGTGCTAACTTAGGGTTTTAAAATCATTCAGTGTGCCAACAGCATACGTATTTTTATACAAGTCAAGGTCAATATACCTGTTCTATAATAAAATATATTTTATATAGTAATATATACTTTAGTATATGTTAAAATTGAAACAGCTAAATATCTTCTTTGCATTGTAGTAGTTATTGGTTCGGGCTTTGTGATGTCATTTTCGGCTGCATGACATTGGAAATTGCTTGGTGTTGCCAACCCCCGTGCTAGACCAATTACAACTGAAGAGTGAGATTGATCCTCACTAGGTGCCCCACACTTTCAGCCTTGTGCAACATCTAAACTAAGCTTAGAGAATCACTGTATATTGTAGTTATTATACTGCAAATATTATATTGCAGTTATTATACAGCACATATTTATTAGGGTACTGCATGGCTAACAAGCTTGTTCCTGCAAGACCAATTACAACTGAATAGCAAGTTTAATCATCACAGGGTACTACATACTTTCGTTCTTGTGCCACGTTTAAGCTAAGCATAGAAAAATCATCATGTACTAGAGTTATTACCCTGCACATATTTATTATATTGGAGTTAATATACATGTGTAGTTTAAATAAGTCTGTACTGCTGCAACGTCACTTGTACAAATCACAATATCGCTGGTTCAATTCACCGTCCTCGCTTTCTTCACACATCACTACATATAGCCGATGTTTCTCTCCCCTTTTTCACTGCTCCAGTCCTCTTTTATCAGGCCAACACTGCAGTTCACCAGCCAATCAGCGTTCTTCGCTGTTATTCTTGGTTACACAGGCAAATTGCCTCCTCCAGTTCGACCAATCAGCACACGACTTGCTATTGGTGGAAGCATGCCAGACTGTACAAAAAAACCCTCATCATTGCACATACTCCTAGAATGGCTGGACGGGAGAGTAATGCGATTTTCATGAAGCCAACTTGCTGATGTCATGTGCCACACATTAAGGTAAGACCCTTATTTTCCTATACACCAGATGTAAGCCAATCTGGCTCGCTTGCTTCTACGGGGCTGTTCACCACAACATGTAAATACTCATTATAGAGAAAATATTTATGACTACAGAACTAACCATGAAAATTTCATGGTTTCTCTATTTGAATTTTCTGATGAATCTTAATAATTAAAGATTTTAATGGTGAGTTATATGACAATAAAAGGTCTGTAAAAATTCCCCTACCTCATCATGAAATATTTGAGCTTAACAACTTTAACAAAATTAATTGCAAAAACAATCATGTGAATGCTAGTTGTTTTTTAAGAAGTAAGGGGGTACAAATGAAAAGACTTGACAACTTTTTCCATCTTCTTTCTTTCACTTTGTCACTGAAACCAAGTAGCATCTCTGATATATCATTTGTCTTTCCAAGCATCAAAACAGAATAGTGCTTTATTTAGAGATATTGGCAGGAGATGTTAAACACTTCTATCTCCATCCTCTGCCTTTTTTTTCTTTCATTTACCTGAACCAGGGATTGAACTCACAATCACTATGTGACCAAATTCACAAACTAACACTTTAATCCACTAGGTCATTTCCCTGTAGGACAGGCAGTGTGTACTTGCACTCAGTGGCAACAGATGGGCAATAACTGAACAGAACTAAATAAAAATAAGAACTAGACTATATCCCTAGGCATGAGCAGTAGAACGAGAATAGTCTTCCCCCATAGATTAAATAAGAGATTCACTTCAGAGTTCCCTATGGGTTAGCCAGATCCATATCCACCTGAAGAAGGCTAGAGGAGCACAACAGCTGAAATGTTGTGATAATAACAAAGAAGAGAACAATAATTAAATTTTTGAAGCCAAAAAAAAAAAAAAAAAAAAAAAAACAGTCATCAATTTTAAAAATTTACCAAAAATTCACTAATTATTTCTTAATCAAATTTTTTTTCTTTTTTAAATAAAAGTAGATAGGTTTACTTCTCATCCAGTTCACACTCCCCCCCCCCAGTCTTTTGAATTATTGTAGAGGTTCATTCCTTGATTGGGTTTCCAGTTCTTTAAATTTTAATTCACCCCTAACAATTCCCCACTGGACTCTGAAATTTTATTCACTAATTCTTGAACTCTTCAAGTCTAGAATTAAATGTCTAACTTTCCTATTATCTTGCCTTTTCTTACACTAATACAACTCTATGCAGTAACTGTCTACCTTGAGTGGCCCTTCGGCTTTGTATTAGGCAAATATTAGTAAAAAAGAAAGAAATAAAAAAAGAAGTTTTTTCAAAGACATTAATAAGCTTAGAGAACAGATTTTTGGCTTCCATCATTATGGCTGATGCTAACCACTAGAAGAGTGACTGATTGCATCTCCTCAGGATAACATTTTACAATGACATGAAGTATACATGCAGCTGGGGGCCACTTGTGAATCTAAATTCCCACAGAAACTTCCACTATGAATTTGCATGTCTGAATGAATATGATCTCTGATACACTTGATCAGATTTTGTTCAAATGCAGCAGGTTCATTTGTCGGAGCCAGCTCAATTGACTCAGATGAATGCCACAGCAAACACAAGTGGAATGATTATATTGAATCAGATGCTAGGTACATGATGTCATGTCAGACAATTTTTCTTGCCAGAATTTATAAGTCTACTGTTCGTCTGTGCATTGAATATTGCTGGTCTGATGCTTCTGCTACTTATTTACATATTTGTGAGAGAATCCAAAGAAGAATATGCAATGTCATCACTCTTGACCTGGCATCTTGGCTTTGAACACTTTTCCACTGCCATAACATAGCTTCCCTCAGAGATTTTATAAAATATTTTCATGGCATTTGTTTTAATGAGTTTCCCTCTTAAGTACCTTGACTTCATGAAGTGCAATACTAGATTGACATATAGGTCTCATTTTACTTTTGAAATTTCTAGATGTAACCCTAAGTTCTATTCTAATAGTTTCTTCACTCACACTTCTCACCTGTGGAACTCTCTTTTGTACCAAACATGAGTAATGACAAAGTTTTGGACAAAATGGAAACAAGAAAGAAACTAATACTTAACATCAGGAAGAGACAGTTGAGGTTTCTGGAGCATATAATAAGAAAGGAGGGCTTGGAATATCTGATACTCATGGGACAGATACAGGGCAAGAGGAATAAAGGAAAACAATGCATAACATAGTGGGCTTGAGTAAACACATGGCAGAACAGGGCTTAGGAGAAATAACAAAAAGACAAAGTTTATTAAGAGCTACAAGGGACAGGAAGTTGTGGAGAACCATGATTTAATTTGATTCTTTAATGACATATCAACTTTTTCATGGGTCATTTAATGCCAAAATTTAATTTTCTTGCGAGCTTTGATGTAGTAAAAATATGATAAATATTATTCTGCTTTCACAATTGAATACATGGTAGATGATACTCAGCTTTTGTGCATATACATGTTTGTTGGGAACATGATTACTAGAGACAGTGATATGTGTGTTCTTTGTTGCAGTTTTGTTGAAGTTATATTTTGGAATACAGTTTGATTGCTTTAAGAAATTGTAGGATATTATATGGCTTAATGTCATGAAAGAATTATTTCATGTTGGTTGCTTAGTAGTATTTTAAATGGATTTGGGTGAAATGACTACAATTTATTAGTGTGTGCATATTGTTGGTAATTTACTATACAAATGTATTGTTGGTAATTTTTTATATAAAAATGTAATGCTGGTATTTTTACAATAAACACGTATTTTTATACTTTCATAGTGTTTTGTTTGAGGGTTCACTATTTGACTATAGCTTGGTCCCTAACTGGTGCTACCACTCCAGGCCAGGATGGATCTAGGAACAACAGCAATTAAGAGGTTGTTCCACGCTCCTCAAAATACCCAACCTCCCAATCAGAGGCCTTGCTGCCAGACATAGTTCATCATCATACCCAGGATAAAAGAATTGAGAAAATAGGTTAAGAGAAATGTAGAAAAGAATAGAGAGAAAGAGAGAGTTTAAGGGAGAAAATAAGAGATGTGAATAGAGGAGTGAACAAATAAAGAAAGAGAGAGAGAGTGATAGAAAAGAAGAGAGAAAGAAATAAAGAAAACATTTAAGGATAGAAAGAGAGAGGAGAATAAAGAAAGGAAGGACAAAGTGAAGGAAAAGAAAAGAGGAAAGTGATAGAAAAGGAGAGAGAAAGAAGTAAAGAAAACACTTCGGAGACAAAAGGTGAAATGGAAAGAGACATGAGAGGAAGGAGAAAAAGAAGAAAGAGAATGATAGAAGGGAATAGAGGAAATGAAAGCAACTAAAAGGAGAAAGAGAAAAAAGAGAGAGAAGTTAGAAGTGTTATCACCCTAATTTGGGGGTTAACTATTTGCCCAATATCTGGGACTCTAACAGGTGGTACCACCTCAGGCCATGGTGAACTTGGGAACAACAGCAATTAAGAGGTGGTTCCATGCTCCTCAAAACCTCCTGATTAGACGCCTTACTGCCAGATGTAGTTTATCGTCATACCCAGGACACTCCATCAACTTGTGATAACAAGAGAAAGGAGAAAATTTTGTAGCTAAAATCCAGATACCCAGGAATGTACAGGAATTAAATCCTTTTTTTCATCTCAAGAAATGAAGAAAACATTTAAAGATTAGAAAGAGAGAGGAGAATAAAGAAAGAAAAGAAGAAAGTGAACGAAAAGAAAAGATGATACAAAAGGAGAGAGAAAGAAGTAAAGAAAACACCTCAGTAACAAAAAGTTAAATGGAAAGAGACATGAGAGGAAGGAGAAAAAAGAGAGAAAGATAGAGGGGAATAGAGGAAAAGAAAGCAACTAAAAGGAGAAAGAGAGAGAAGTTAGAAGCAAAGGTGATAAAGTATAGAAAGAGAGAAACAAAGAGAGACAAAACTGAAGGAGAAAAATAGAATGATAAACCAATGTGGAAGAGGAATAATTTTTAAGAAAATATGTCCAAAAAAAAAAAAAGATGTAAGAATAGCAACAAGTCGGAATCTAACTCGAGGAATAAATCTTGTAGCAAAAATAGCGGCAGCTGGAAATGTTATTTGCAAGTTTCGGCTTTAATAAGCAAGAAGATTATAAAATGGAAAACAGGTAGCAATCTTGGTAACTTTGGATCTTTGAGGAATCTTCTCTTATCACCAATCTGTCACTCACATCTAATTCTTTCTCTTTGCTTTTATGAAGAATTCCAATCCAGGCCAAAAATACCAACACCACATTACCTCATCTTGTCCAGGAAACAGTTCACCTTACTCCAAGCAACATCCATCAAGTCCCTTCATCCTCCCTGTCCAACTCTGCTATCTCAATGTCCACCTATCACTTTGGACATCTTACCCATCAATCTTCAATTTGTTCAGGACCATTCTGATCCATCCTTGATAACAATCATCCTCGCTACTATCATTTAATGCTTGCAGGAATGGTTCACTGGTCCAAACACAGAACTATAGACTATTCTTTTTCCTCCTCATGTCTAGTGTCTCTTCAGTACATAGCCAATCATAGCTCTCCACAACTTTCTTTCTCTTAGCAATATTTCAATATCTTTACCACTGCTTGATCTAACATCTACTTACACAAGCTCTTTACATAGGTTACTCACAGTTTCCCTTCTTGCCTTCAATATCCAACTTTTAATTTTGCATTTCTTAATCTACCATATCACCTCAGGATGTAGGCAATCATGGCTCTCCACAACTTCCTGTCCTCTGTAGTTCTTAAGAATTTTTGTCTTTTTGTTATTTCTCCTAAACCTGTTATCCATTTACTCAAGCTCACCATGTAGGTTATGCCTTGTTTTTCTCTGTCCCTCTTGCCTTTAATATATCCTATGAGTATTAGATTTTCCAAGCCCTCTTTTCTCATTATGTACCCTGGAAATTTCAGCTGTCTCTATCTAATGTTAACTATAAGTTTCCTTTTTGTATCCATTTTCTCTAAAACATAATCTGTCCATGGTATCCTCAGGATCCTTCTGTAGAACCACATTTCTGTTGTTTCAAATCTCTTATTCATCTTTAAGGAGATTGTCCAGCATTCACTGCTATATAGGTGGACAGATATCACATAACAGATTGCAGTGTCACACTTTCCATCCTATATTAAAACACTTCCTAGATATTTAAATTTTGTATATGTTTGCTTTTGGTATCTCCAATTTGCAATTTGGGCTCATCCTTTTGCTAACAGCCATGCATTCTGTCTTCTTGCAATTGATGTTTAATCCTTCTGTAGGAGTTTTTGTAATTCAGTTATTTCATTTATTCTTTTATGTAGATTTTTATTTCAATCATTTCACCCCATGCAAGGCAATAATACCACAGATTCAAGGGGGTTACTGAGAGTAAAAGAGAATGAGAAGACTTTAATGAGGAGAAAGGACAATAAAAGAACAAAATTTAGGAAGACAAAAGATGGTGATAAAGCCATTAAGACACAAGGGGTTACTGGGAATGTAAGAGGAGAAGACTTTAGTGAAGAGAAAGGACAATAAAAGAACAAAATTTAGGAAGACAAAAGATGGTGATAAAGCCATTAAGACACAAGGGGTTACTGGGAATGTAAAGGAGAAGACTTTAGTGAAGAGAAAGGACAATAAAAGAACAAAATTTAGGGAAGACAAAAGATGGTGATAAAGCCATTAAGACACAAGGGGTTACTGGGAATGTAAGGAGAAGACTTTAGTGAAGAGAAAGGACAATAAAAGAACAAAATTTAGGAAGACAAAAGATGGTGATAAAGCCATTAAGACACAAGGGGTTACTGGGAATGTAAGAGGAGAAGACTTTAGTGAAGAGAAAGGACAATAAAAGAACAAAATTTAGGAAGACAAAAGATGGTGATAAAGCCATTAAGACACAAGGGGTTACTGGGAATGTAAGAGGAGAAGACTTTAGTGAAGAGAAAGGACAATAAAAGAACAAGTTTCAGGAAGACAGAAGATGGTGATTGATGTTGTATTTAAATTTTTTAAGATTGTAAGAGGCAGGGTAACAAGAAACTGGATGAGGAATGCAAGAAAAGAAACTATTTGAATAGAACTTACAGTTGCCATCTTCTTATTTCAACATTGAAACAATGAGACATACTTGCCAATCTTGTAGGATGCTTAACTTCATGCAGTTCAGGTACCAAGGAGGAAAGCTCATTATAACAATTGCCATGAAAATATTTGCAAAAAAGAAAGAGGTAAGCCATGTCATGGCAGTGGGAAAGTGACTGAAGGTGAGATACCAGATCAGGACTGATTACATTACAGACCCTCGTTTGAATTTTGTCAAGAATCTCGAGCTATATGCAGGACTTGCTACTAAAACAGGAGTAAATAGTTGTGTCATCAACATAAATACATAGGAGCTGATGATATCAGGAAGGTCATTGATGAACATAAGAAACAATATAGGTCCAAGGATAGAGCCCTGGGAGTCTCCACATTAATGTGAAATGAACTAGAAGCATATCTGTTCAACACAACTTTCATTACACATTGTTGTATCTTTCTATTTCTGCATGCTTTTTATTGAGTCATTCCTCTTTTGCCTGCTTGCATCTATTGCTAATGATTCTGTTTCATGTTCCATACCATTCATTGGCATTGTTTGCTGTTTTTCATCAGCTTGAGAATTTCATCTGTTATCCACTTTTTTCTTGTCTCACTTGGAATCATCACCAATGTCACTTGAGTTTTTTTTTTATTTTGTTCCAATTAGAACTGTTCATATCCTGACTATTCCTTCCACTTGCTATTCTACCATCCATTTATACAAGCTCATTAGATAGGTTACTCACTGTTTAACTTTGCCTCCTTTATTTTGAGCATGTTCTGTGAGTGTCAAATTCTCCAAACTCTCTTTCCTCATTTCATCTAAAATTTCAACTCTTTCTGAACCTAAGCACATCTCAACACCCATCCATAGAACCACATTTCTGCTGCTTCTCTTCATCTGTGAGGAAAATAGTCAACATTCATTATTATATAAGAAGATTAACATTACATCGCAGTTCAACAGGTTTCTCTTTGTGTCAAACAGAATTTTCTTGCTTTTATTGCTTATCTTTTGGAAGGCACCTTTTCCAGTGCATCTCTGGATTCCAGTGTCATATTTTCAGTCGTCTGAAATACATTCACAGATTTGTAGCTCACATCTTGGACCATCTCTCTTGATACTGACCATACGTTTTTTGCCTTCTGACATTTGATAGTCCTTTTTTCTTGCTTTCCCTTACTACTCTGTCTTACATGTTGTAGCAATTTTCTTCCTATGATTTTTTTTTTCCAATCAATTCACCCCAAGCAAAGTAATAATGCCACTAAGATGCAAGGGTCTACTGGGAGTAAGAGAATGAGAAGTTGTTATGAGTGAGTGAGCATTTAATTAAAAGAGAATCATTAGATTAAGTGCATTGACAAGGAAGTGGATTAAGTTGAAAAATATTTGTTTAAACTAAATGCTTTTGTAATGATTAGGCTACAGAATTTTTTTTAATCATTTCACCCCAACGATTTCAACAGTAAAAGGGTGGGACCTGGATGCCAATCTAGTAGCATGCTTAAATTCACATAGCCAAGGCCCCAAGGAAAATCTTGTATGGAAGGAGGAACATGTACCACAACAAAAAGGAGTCATAAGGAAAAAAAATATTAAAAAGACAGCTGCCTTACCAATTAGGCTATGGAGACAATTCCATAGGCAAAAGAAGTGTGTGTTTAAATCTTGCCAGAAGTTTTTCATGTGTCTGCTATTTTATGGAACAGACTCCCAAGAGGATGTTTTCCTAATCACTACAATCTTTAACTGTTTAAGTCTAGGATCAAATGTTATCTATTTTACATATCCTCATAATCTGCACTTACTTCCTCCTCTTAGATCCATACAACAGCCTCATTCAATAACCCTCTACATTGAGTGGCTTTTAGGCTTTGTATTCGGTGAATTTTTAATAAAAAAAAATAAGATGACAACAATGTGTGTTAAAAAATTCATAACTGACAATATTGCAATTTTGTAGATAGTTTGTTCATGGCTCTTCACAACTTCCTATCTTTTGTAGTCCTAAACAATGTTTATACCCTTACTATACCTCCAAGTTCCTGATCTGCCATTTATTTACTTAAGCTTGTTAGACAGGTTGATCATAGATCTCCACAACTTCTTCCTTCATAGCTCTAAGCAATGTTTGTCCTCTTACTATCCCTCCAAGTCCCTCTTTTTCCATACATTTACATAAGCTTGTGAGCTTGATCATGGCTCTCCATAACTTCCTATATTTTGGCATTATATTAAGTAACTAGGGTCTGCAAATTACAAGAGAGAGTTATCAATAATAATGTTTGATTTCAAATCTGCAGTTATCTCCCTTTAACCCTCTATTTTTTATTTTTAAATGTACTTTTTATCACATAAAATTTGGTGAGGCACAAGCAAATTTTAATAATAACTGACAATACTGCAATTTTTTAGATAGGTTTATCATGGCTCTCCACATCTTCCTATCCCTTACAGCACTAATCCATATTTATGCCTTTACTATCCCTCTCAGTTCCTGTTCTGTCATCTATTTCCACAAGCTCGTTAAGCAAGTTACTCACATTTTTCCTCTTGATTTTAATATATCCAGTGAGCATCAAATTCTCCAAATCCTTTTTTTTGTTAAAAAGAATATTAATATAACACGAGTTATGGCGCCTGACCAAAAGTCATGTCTAGTTATCTGCCTTTGGTGCAGACATATAAGAGCATAATTTTCCTTTATCATCATTTAGTTATTTTGTGTGCTAAATAGCTCTGGAACCTATGGCACGTCAATTTTACAATATCTATGACTGTTACTTCAGTTTATAAAATCATTGTTATGTGGTGTCCAGTTGCCATGAAGTTAAAAACCCAATAAGAATCTTCAATGAATCAGTTTTGCTGACAGGTTAGATATTTAATGTTAGTATCTTTGGAAAAGAACGTTTAAATTAACACTAGTCTATACACAAAGCTTGCACATATACTCTGCTGGCAGACAGTACTGTCATGACTTTGTAATATAGACAATCTCAGGTGGTGTAATTATTAACACCATTTCTAGCATCAAATTCATTTATTTCTGTCTTAATCATCATTAGCTTCCTAGCCACTGAATTTCTGGAGATCATTCCAAAAGCAATTATCATGAAAAAACAAAAAACAAAGAAAAAACACAGAAGCATCAAACAGGCTTCTTGCTAGTCAACATATGGCTGCATTTAAAGGGGTCTAATTATGCTGCCATATTTTGTAGAGATTGCAGCCATGTAGTGTATAAAAAGTTAATGATGGTTCCAGATATCGTTACAAATTTTGAAATGAAGAAAAAAGGTACAGGTTGTTACGTCTTGTGAAAATACTCAGCTCATCTAGAAAGAGAAAGGAAAAAAGAAAGCAGATAAAGTGTAAAGTCAAAAGTTTTATATTCCAAAAATTCTTCAGCTATATTAGAAAAATTGTTTTTTTTCTTCCAGTCCTGTTTCTACTTATGAAGACAATTTTTGTACAACAATAGATACAGGAAGATACCTGGTATGTGGACGTAGAATTAAGTTTTTTTTATGGATTATCAACCCTTTGTAGGTTATTTAAAGCCCAAACATTTTGAATTGTAAGAATAACTCTTTTTTAGCAAGTGAATATTGCATTAACCATGTTCTTAGAGATAACAATGATTTTTCCAAATACAAGTCCTGCTATTTAACCCATAGCTGGTGGAGTGTTCAGAAGTGATTGATTCATACCTTGGTAATAGGTAAATGATTGTAACAAACTTGACTGGAATTTAAATTCAGCTCTTCTATTTAACCCATAGCTGAGGGGAAGATAGACCTTTTCCAAGAGTATCTACCTGTAAGTTAAATGTAACGAACTTGACTGGAATTCAAACCCGGTTGTCCAATTTCTCATTTTCATCCATTACACCCCCCCCACATCCAACTACCCAAACTATCAAAAGACTGAAGGAAATATTTAAGCCATTTTGCAATTGCATTGTATTTATAAAATAAAAATTAAAACGTTATCACCCTTCTCCTCAGTGCTATTATTCCAACAAGCACTACCAATCACCTGCGAAAAGTTTAGTCTGTTTAATTTTTGTTCTTTTATTTAAGTGGAAACAACAACAAAAAATCGCATATTTCGTATGCCTTAGGCCATGGGTTATGACTCAAAATCTGATTAGAAAACAAATGCAGGCCAAAAATATTTTTTTAAATAATAACAATAAGCAGCAGAACCACCAGTGAAATAATTGAATAATTAAATAAACTCCTTGTGAGTTTTCTGACTGCAAAACATCCATGGAATTTCCACTATTGTATCATTAAATATTTGAGCTTAACAACTTTAACAAAAATATTGTAATAACAATCATAAGTTTGAATACTGGTTATTATTCAAAGATTGATTGATAGGTTTTGTTTTTTTTACAGCTTATCAACTCTTTGGGAGTTATTTTAATCCAAAACATATTTTGGATTGTAAAAATAATACTTTTTTTTTTTGTTAGTAAATATTGCACTAACAATTTTTTGGAGATAATGACTTTTTCAGATACAAGGCCTACTGTTTAACCCAAAGCTCTATTAAACACAAGAATTTATGTGAATATTTAACAGAAAAAATGCTCAGCTTCATTTGACTGTTACTTGAAGAGTATAAAATTTCAAATAACTTACTAACTATAAATTCTTAAAAGTTGAAACTTTACACTGATTTGTTATTTTTACAGCGTAGTAACACTTTGCAGGTTATTTAAAGCTAGAAAATATTTTTGGATTTTTTTTTGAGATAATAATGGTTTTAGTGATACAAATCTTACTAATTAACACATAGCTGGATTCATAACCTTTCCCAAAGGTATTCACACAGATTGGAATATAACAAACACAATGGGAATTTGAACTTGACTCTCTAATTAACAATTCCAGAGAATGTAAATAAATCTAAAAGGCATGCCTGTGTATCTAATCAGTATTTCATTGATTGATTCATTTTCTATGGCATATGAAACTTTTTCAGGTTATTTAAAGCCAGAAAATATTTTAGATGTAAGAATTTTTTTTAAGACAATAATGGTTTAAAGATACAAGTCTTATTAATTAACCCATATCTGGGGAGAAAGTGAATCACACCTTTTCTAAGGGTATTAGTCCATAAGTGAATATAACGAACCAAACAGAAGTTGGAACTTGGCTCTCAGATTAGCAATTCTGAGCCATTATCCATTACACCACTACACATTTATGCTTACAGAACCTGGTATTCTCAAGTGGTCATCCATTGAGGTACTGATCAGACTTGGCATTTCAATGTGATGTGGCCATAAACCTGAAAGTTTTCAGTTTAATAATTTGATATTTGCTTTAAATGTTGTGTAAATCTTTTTCTTTCTTTGTAAATTATAAGTTAATAAAATTTTATTTTATGTTGGTATCCACTCAGATTTATACCTGACACACATTGTACTAAACACAAAACATGCATGAAATTTTGCGGATTAATAACTTGATATGTTTTAAATGCTGAGTAAATTTTATCTTTCTCTGCAAATTAGAAATCTATTCAATTTTAAGTTGGTATCCACTCAGCAGGGACGTTGCAGCTTTAATAAAAAAAACAAACACTACAATCCATACAGTTTATATAGCAGTAAAGACTTAACAGACTGATTACAAAAGACAACAAGCAAGCCAGATGAGGTTCTACTGAAAAATATTAAGAATAATATGTATAGAGCATGTAACAAATGTGGAAGTTCTAAGGAAAATAGGAACTACAAAGAGACATTTATTAACAATCAGAAAGAGAAAACTTGGAGAATTTAACACTCACAAGGCAAATTAACATAAAGAGAAGCAGGGGAAAGCACTAAGTAACCTACTTCATAGGATTCAGCAAGTGCCACAAAGAAAGAATGGTCATAAAGGAGTGATTATTGCTGAGAGTTTCAAAAGACAAGAAGTTGGGGAGAGCTATGATCGCCCATGTTTTTAAAGATGTGGTACATGCAGAGGAAGAGAGAGAGTGGAGTGGCGAAGAGGAGAAAAAGGGTAAGAGAAAGTGAAGGTTGGTGTGGGGAAAGAGGAGAGGAGAGAGAAGGTTGGTGTGGGGAAAGAGGAGAGGAGAGAAAAGGTTGGTGTGGGGAAAAAGGAGAGGAGAGAGAAAGTTGGTGTGGGGAAAGAGGAGAGGGGAGAGAAGGTTGGTGTGGGGAAAAAGGAGAGGAGAGAGAAAGTTGGTGTGGGGAAAGAGGAGAGGAGAGAGAAGATTGGTGTGGGGAAAGAGGAGAGGAGAGAGAAGGTTGGTGTGGGGAAAGAGGAGAGGAGAGAGAAGGTTGGTGTGGGGAAAGAGGAGAGGAGAGAGAAGGTTGGTGTGGGGAAAGAGGAGAGAGAGGGAAAGAGAGAGAAGGTTGGAGTGAGGAAAGAGGAGAGGAGAAAGAGAAGGAATGAGAGAAGGCGGAGTGTGGAAAGAGGAGAGGAGAGAGAGGGGAATAGAGATGGTTGGAGTGGGGAAATATGAGAGAGGAGGAATCAGAGAGAGATGGTTGGAGTAGGGAAAGAGGAGAGAGAGAGGAGGAATAGAGAGAGAAGGCTGGAGTGGGGAAGGAGGAAAGGAGAGTGTAGAGAAAATAGAGAGAGATGGCTGGAGGAGGGAAGGAGGAGAAGAAAAAATGTTTCAATTAAGTTTTTAGTCCATATATTTTCTTTTCTTTCAAAATCCTTCTCTTATATCGTTTGTCTCCTTCCTTATCTCTTTCATTCCTTTTGCTTTAATCTCTTTTTCTCTTCTTATTCTACATTTTATTCTTCTACACTTCATCTCCAACATTTCTCCTAATAATAATATTCTTCTACTACTGCTCCTACTACTCTTTGCTTACTCTTCTTCTTCTAATATTCTTTTACTAATACCATTCATCTATTATTATTATTATTATTATTATTATTATTATTATCCTGATATTCTTCTTTATCTACAATTCTTCTACCATTCTTTTTCTTATTCTATTTTTCTTCTTTTTTTCAACTATTCTTTTTCTAGTCTTCTTCTACTACACATCTTTTTTCTTCTTCTCTTTTTCTTGTTTTCTATTTCTTCTATTCTTTTTCTTCATCAGTCCTTCTTTTTCTACTATTCGTTTCTTTTTTCTTCTTCAACTACTCCTTCTCTTCTCTTTTTCTTCTTCAACTACTCCTCTTCTTCTCTTTTTCTTCTTCAACTACTCCTTCTCTTCTCTTTTTCATCTACTCCTTCTCTTCTCTTTTTCAACTACTCCTTCTCTTTTTCTTCTTCAACTACTCCTTCTCTTCTCTTTTTCAACTACTCCTTCTCTTTTTCTTCTTCAACTACTCCTTCTCTTCTCTTTTTCAACTACTCCTTCTCTTTTTCTTCTTCAACTACTCCTTCTCTTCTCTTTTTCAACTACTCCTTCTCTTCTCTTTTTCAACTTCTCCTTTCTTCTCTTTTCAACTACTCCTTCTCTTCTCTTTTTCAACTACTCCTTCTCTTCTCTTTTTCAACTACTCCTTCTCTTTTTCTTCTTCAACTACTCCTTCTCTTCTCTTTTTCAACTACTCCTTCTCTTCTCTTTTTCAACTACTCCTTCTCTTCTCTTTTTCAACTACTCCTTCTCTTTTTCTTCTTCAACTTCTCCTTCTTTTTTTTCTTCCTTCTTTCTCTTTTCAACTTCTCCTTCTCTTTTCTTTTTCAACTTCTCCTTCTCTTCTCTTTTCAACTCTCCTTCTCTTTTTTTTTCTTCTTTCTTCTTCCTTCTTCTTCTCTTTTTCAACTACTCCTTCTCTTCTCTTTTTCAACTACTCCTTCTCTTCTCTTTTTCAACTACTCCTTCTCTTTTTCTTCTTCAACTACTCCTTCTCTTCTCTTTTTCTTCTTCAACTACTCCTCTTCTTTTTCTATTCTTTTTTTATTCTTCTTCAACTACACCTTCTCTTCTCTTTTATTCTTCTTCAACTACAACTCCTCTTTTTTTTCTTCTATTCTTTTTCTATTTTTCTTAACTATTCATTCTCTTCTTTTTCTTCTTTTTTTTTCTATTTTTCTTCTACTTCTCTTTTTCTTCTTTTTCTATCCTTCTTCAACTACTCTTTCGTCTTTATCTTCAATTCTTCTTCCATCCTTGATTTTCTTCAACTATTCTTCTTCTATAATTTTTCTTCATCAACTATTCTTTTTCATCTATTCTTCTTTATCTATTATTCTTCTTCTATGATGTTTCTTCCACTATTACATCTACTCTTTTTATAATTCTTCTTCTTCGTTTGCTACTATTTTTCATCTTGCTCCTGTTCCTAAACCTCTTTCAATTCTTTTTCTTCTTCTCTCTCTACCTATACTTATCTTTATCACCTGTTCCTCCCTCAGCATAAGAGTCTATGATTCTTACATCTACCTGTAGAGGTAAGTAGTTCTTCAATACACACTGTAATGCAGATCCATAGCCAGAAAGTTAACGCATGACGATCTCTGGTGAATGATTAGTCGTTTGCAAAGCAGACATCTGTTCTCTGACAACTAAAGTTTGTGAGTACATTGGATTAGAGTGAGCCAGATTAATATAGCATTACTCTAAAATACAACTGGTCCGCCATTCTCACTATTTGCAATGACTAGTAATCATAGAAGAAGCATGAAAAATTGAAGGTTTTCCTTTCTCAAGGGCAGAAGTGAAAATGATACTAAAGGTCAAAAATAAGAAACTGAAATGATTTTATGAAATTTCTCATCTGCGAGCAGGCATCGTATCAAATTTGGTTTAATTTCTTTTACTACAAAAAGATAAAAAAAATTGAGCAGAAATAATCCTACTACTTTTTGTAATAAGTGTAATCAAGTAATTAAACTAATTAAATAGAGAAATAAATGTATATAATTATCAAGTACAAGTGCATAGACATACCTACACTTACTAGTAAAAGTGAGGAAATAAGAAACGATTCAAGAATAAACAGAAAGAAAAGATTCTTTTACATGTGGGAAGAAATGAGAAAGGATTCAAGAATAAAGAGAAAAGAAAAATTATTTTATGTGTGTGGAGAAATGAGAAAGGATTTAAGAAGAAACAAAAAAAGAAAGCTTATTTTATGTGTCAGAATAAACAAGAAAGGATTCATGAAGAAACAAAAAAAAGAAAGCTTATTTTATGTGTGCAGAGAAACAAGAAAGGATTCAAGAAGAAAAAAGAAAGCTTATTTTACGTGTCGGAATAAACGAGAAAGGATTCAAGAAGAAACAAAAAAGATAAATTTATTTTATGTGTGGGAAGAAATGAGAAAGGATGAAAATAACAGAAAGATTATTTTATGTGTGTGGAGAAACAAGAAAGGAGTTAAGAAGAAAAAAAGAAAAAGATTGTTTTATATATGGAGAAAAATGAGAAAAGATACATAATAAATGAATTGAAGTAACAATACCTTTTTAAGAAATTTAAAAAGTCACAACTGAGTTTTTAAAAGTATGTGAGTTTTTCCAACTAGTTTTTATAATATATGAAAAAATTATTAGCATATAACATTAGGGATATGGCATATAAAAGATTTATTTGTTTCTTTTGTTAAACAGCATATCAAAAACTTATGGGTCATTGAATGCAGAAATTTAATTTTCTTAGGAGCTTGGAAGTAATAAATATATGATATATGTTGTTCTGCTTTCACAATTGAATACATGGTAGATGATACTCAGCTTTTGTGCATATACATGTTTGTGTGGACATAATTACTAGAGACTGATGTATGTGTTTTATGTTTTAGTTTTGTTGAAGTTATATTTTGAAATACAGTTTGATTTCTTTAAGAAAATTTAGGATATTGTATGAATTAATGTCATGAAAGAATTCTTTCACGTTGGTTGGTTATTTGGTTGATTTCATTCAGCGGCATATCCCCTCAAGATGCGTGTGACTTTGACTTTTCATAACTTCCTATTCTTTCTCGCTCTCAACAAAATGTTTCCCCTTACAATCCACCCCTATCTTTATTCTACCATCTATTTATGCAAGCTTATTAGCTAAGTTACCCTCCATTTCCCTCTTGTTTTTTTTTTTATAATCCCATGTCCTGCAGGGGCACATGTGTACTGCAGCCGTGGTAGAAGTGGTGTTTCTTGGGAAAAATAGCCTGACAGAGCCCAACCCTCTCCAAGTCAGTCTTGAATTCAGAGTTTTTCCTTCTAGACCAGTTGCCACCCAAGGCTATAGGACCCAGTCTGTCCTGCTATTTCCCCACAGCTGGGGGGAGAAGAAGAGGATTCATGATTTTCCCAAAGGTATTAGCATGTAAGTGGATGTAATGTATCCAACTGGATATATATATATATATATATATATATATATATATATATATATATTATAAATTAATTGATTTAAAATATTTTTTTCGCTACACAGTTCTAACCATGTTTCAAAAGTGGAAGCTAAAAGCCATGAATTTAATTTTGTGATTAAATTAAAGACATTCGCTTTAGGATGAAATGGAACTAATGTCTTTAATTTAATCACAAAATTAAATTCGTGGCTTTTAGCTTCCATTTTTGAAACATGGTTAGAACTGTGTAGCGAAAAACCATATTTTAAATCAATTAATTTATATTAATGCTCTGTAAATTTACATTGAGCACTATTTTGTAAAAATAAAAATATCTATAAGAACACCAGATTATATATCTTGCTGTTCTTTCTTTTTTTTATATATATATATATATATATATATATATATATATATATATAGTGATTGTTGAATTCCTAAAGCCCTTTTCCTCTATGGATTATTTAATGACAAAATCTAAATATTTTGAATGCAATTGCATATCTTCAACTACAGATAAAATGTATTGTTGGTCATTTTACTATAAAAATGTATTGTTGGTCATTTTACTATAAAAATGTATTTTTTATACTTTCATAGTGTTTAGATATTGTTTGGGGGTTCATGATTTACTCACAGCTGGGACCCTAGCAGGCGTTACTACTCTGGGTCAGGGTGGACCTAGGAACAACAGCAATTAAGAGGTGGTTCTACCTTTCTCAAAGAATGAAAGAACTAATTTCAACTTGGAACTAATTTCAACTCGATTTAAAACTAAAATTATCAATTTCCGTGAATTTCTAAAGAAAATGCATTGAGTTGGTTTTAATTTTTTAATTTAGCATTAAAAATCCTTAGTAGATAAGATAATTCAGAATTCATCTTTTCTGAAACTTTCTTTAGTTCCGAGTTGAAATTAATTCTGCACTTCTGAAAACTTTCCAATCAGAGGTCTTGTTGCCAGAAGAAGGTTTTTATTGTCATCATATAAAAGAAAAAGCGGGATCAATTCATATATTGATCAAAATGAATATTGCTTAATACTGATTACCAAAACAAAATGATCTTTTCTGAGTATCTGAAAGATAAATGTTGAATGCCAGTATGAAAGATACAAATTCTAACCAATCCTCTCAAACCTGGTCTGATTCCAAAAAAACACCATGTGTTGATAATGACATAATGGCAGGTGAAATGGAAGGTGTCCTACACCAAAACCTTTCTGACGTCAGTAGTTCAGTCAGGAAGTAAAAATGGAGTGCAGCAAGAAGAGTAAGGACTAAGAATATTGGCACTGTGTGGACAGGGAGGAGGAGGAGGAGGAAGCGGAATTCTTCTTAATGCCCTCATCACCTGATGCTAAGAACTGAGGAAATTTATAATCCTCTCACAAGAATATCAGGTGTTGATTGTATGAGTAGACAGTAATTCAAGGCTCACAGCTCAGAGTCTAGAGCATAACATAAGATTTTGCTAAGAATAGTTCTCTTCTCTCTCCAGACTAATTATTTGAGAATAGGCAATCATGGCACTCCACAACTTCCTGTTCTTTGTAACACTTAGTAAAGTTTATCTTTTTGCTATATCACCTAACTCCTGTCCTGCCAAAAATTTACACGTTTGTTCTTCTATGTGCCATAACTCTTCATGATGTCACTGACCATAGCTC